TTATCACTATGGACGGCAGTCCATGTAGTGACGAAGCGCACCAGGAGAGTGTGCGAAGGCGACTACTATATATACACGAAGAAATGAAAATCTACTGTGATGGTCCGATCATAATGAATGATACACCTATCGAAAGGTATTACGAAAACTAACAGGATTGCATACCAAGACTTTAAGAAAATCAATTGGCTTGGGAGAGAGAGCGGTGAAAGTGAAAAAGTGAAAATTTCGAAATTTGGAGCTGTTGGGGCCGGTGGGGATAAATGCCCCCTCGCAATGTTTTATTTGTATTCCTTTTAAAAATACCCGTCGAATGAGGGGTCATTTGTCAAAATCCGACGCTCCGTTCAAAAGTTATAGCCAAAATACGATTTTCTTCATCTTCCCAAAATGAAAATTTAATTCTGTTTGTCAGTTTGTCAGTTTGTCAGTTTGTCAGTTTGTCAGTTTGTCCAAAACATGTTTTTTAAGTTTTTAAAATTTGATATGACGTTCATCACATCGATATCAAAAACTTTTCTTCTACCACTTTTGGAAAAACTCGCTAGTTTAGCGGGAAAACAGCTATAAATAGCTAAAATTCGGAAAGCCGTAACTTATATACTACTAAAGCTACAGACTTGTGCTGCATCTCGTTGGAAAGGTATTTTGAAATGCTATAAACGCCTTCTATATGCAATTTGTGTAAATGTAACAGTTAAAAAAATATGAACAAAAGACAATTTTTTAAAACTTTTTTTTAGCTTTTTTTATTTTTCTCAAAAACGGCTCTAACGATTTTCTTTAAAACCTTAAACTGTATAGCCCTTGAGATTCCTTAAATTTTGGTATATAACACATTACTGTAAAAAGTCACGTTTAAAAGTTATTTTTATACGAAAATAGCCACGAACAATTAACGCTCCCTGAGTATTGAATTTTGTGTGAGGGTATCCGAACTGTATTTTAGGGTCATGGAATCAGTAAATTTGCACCTAAGAGTTCCATATAGGTATCTTTTGTTCTACGACTTTTGGAAAAAGCCGCTACTTTAGCGGGAAAAAAGCTAAAAATGGCTAAATTTCGTTAGTTTGTAAGTTCTAAACTACTAAAGGTACAGACATGTGCCATACCTCGTTTAAAAGGTATTTTGAAATACTTTTTAACTTAATTTGTTTAAATACAATGGCTTACAAATTATGATTGACCAATTTAAATTTAAATGTTTATATTAGCACCTATGAGAGCAAAAGTAAACAAACAAAAACTTCTGATATCAAATAAAAACACCTCTTAACGAGGTAAAAAACTAGTGACGAACGCACCTTCAACATACAAAAGTTCTGATATCAACATTTGTGACGAAAAATTATTACACTCGTCATTAAATAGACTTTCTAATATTTTCTCATTCGGCACGCTGCAATAGAAAATGCCTGTGAAGGGAAAAAGGCTGGAATAGTTTGCTAGGGCGGGCCGAATGAGAAAATATTAGAAAGTCTATTTAATGACGAGTGTAATAATTTTTCGTCACAAATGTTGATATCAGAACTTTTGTATGTTGAAGGTGCGTTCGTCACTAGTTTTTTACCTCGTTAAGAGGTGTTTTTATTTGATCTTCTACTCTAGGATATGACTCTTTTTAAATATTTCCGAATTTCAATTTTAATTTGATCAAAATCGGACGACTATATCATATAGCTGCCATAGGAACGATCGAAAAATTAATGAGAAATATTAGAAAATTGAACATTTTTGCGATTTGTTAATTAATAGGAATGATCTGCAAGGGTATATAAGCTTCGGCTGGCCGAAGCTAGCTTCCTTTCTTGTTTTTCATATAATAAATATCCGAAAACTTAAGAGATCTGGTCAATATATTGGGTGTCAGCATCACTATGGACGGCAGTCCATGTAGTGACGAAGCGCACCAGGAGAGGGTGCGAAGGCGACTACTATATATACACGAAGAAATGAAAATCTACTGTGATGGTCCGATCATAATGAATGATACACCTATCGAAAGGTATTGCGAAAACTAACAGGATTGCATACCAAGACTCTAAGAAAATTAATTGGCTTGGGAGAGAGAGCGGTGAAAGTGAAAAAGTGAAAATTTCGAAATTTGGAGCTGTTGGGGCCGGTGGGGATAAATGCCCCCTCGAAATGTTTTAGTCGTATTCCTTTTGAAAATACCCGTCGAATGAGGGGTCATTTGTCAAAATCCGACGCTCCGTTCAAAAGTTATAGCCAAAATAAGATTTCCTTCGTCTTCCCAAAATGAAAATTTAATTCTGTTTGTCAGTTTGTCAGTTTGTCAGTTTGTCCAAAACATGTTTTTTAAGTTTTGAAAATTTGATATGACGTTCATCACATCGATATGAAAAACTTTTGTTCTACCACTTTTGGAAAAACTCGCTAGTTTAGCGGGAAAACAGCTATAAATAGCTAAAATTCGGAAGTCCGTAACTTATATACTACTAAAGCTCTAGGCTTGTGCTGCATCTCGTTTGAAAGGTATTTTTAAATGCTATAAACGCCTTCTATATGCAATTTGTGTAAATGTAATAATTAAAAAAATATGAACAAAAGACAATTTTTTAAAACTTTTTTTTAGCTTTTTTTATTTTTCTCAAAAACGGCTCTAACGATTTTCTTTAAAACCTTAAACTGTATAGCCCTTGAGATTCCTTAAATTTTGGTATATAACACATTACTGTAAAAAGTCACGTTTAAAATTTATTTTTATACGAAAATAGCCACTTTTGCCAGCTCGAACAATTAACGCTCCCTGAGTATTGAATTTTGTGGGAGGTTATCCGAACTGTATTTTAGGGTCATGGAATCAGTAAATTTGCACTTAAGAGTTCCATACTTAAGTTCTACGACTTTTGGAAAAAGCCGCTACTTTAGCGGGAAAAAGCTAAAAATAGCTAAATTTTGTTAGTTTGTAAGTTCTACACTACTAAAGGTACAGACATGTGCTATACCTCGTTTAAAAGGTATTTTGAATTACTTCAACGCCTTTTTAACTTAATTTGTTAAAATACAAAAGTTTAAAAATTATGATTGACCAATTTAAATTTAAATGTAGGGGAGTGTAGGGTAATTTGACGAGTAGGGTAATGTGACGAACTCGTCGAATCTCATATATGACGTCACGACAAAAATTCCAAATAAATGTAGTCGTCTCCCCTTATCGTGTCGACAATGTATTTACAGTAATATTAATAAGAAGTCCCGTAATTTGTTCGTGAGGTAATTTTCGCTAAAAATGTGGTGCGCAAACTAGCAAACCCATTCAATTTACTTGTGTTTCAGCAGTGCCAGAGCAAAGATGAGTGGAAAATAAAATCAGGCAAATATATGCACGTATACATGAGATCTTTATCAACAGTTTTTGGTACCTCGCGTTTTTTTCTTTTGCGCCGTTTGAGAGTGACACCGTTTTTGCTCCAAGTCTACCTTGTAGGGTATCGTGACGAACTTTTTGTAGGGTATTGTGACGAACTTTTTTTATTCAAGAATTTTAACTGTTATCGTTGATTATTTGTAAAAAAATATAATAATACCAGATAACATTTACTGCTGCAGTTTTATTGTTGTTTTTAATAGTGACGTCAGTTTAATTTAATTTAAAAAAAATTTGCACTTTGACCATTTTTTTTTTTTTAAGTTTGGGTATTATCTTATTACTTTTTTCTTTTCCGTATCGAAAAAACCCTTTCCGTAAATAATATATAAAAAAATGTATTTTTTTTTTGTAAAAAGGATGGTTTACACCAAACGCTGTGGGATTTGGCTACGTTGAAATTTCGAATCCAAATTTTTTTAGAAATATGCTCAGGAAATGTAAGCAACTTTCTGCTTTTACACTTTTAAAAAATATTGATTTTTGGAGATGTTACATTAAAGAACAAATCGTTCGTCACATTACCCTACAACTTTTGAAAGTGCAAAAAAAGTAGGGTTCACGCCCAACGCTGTGGGATTTAGCTGCATTGGAATTTCGAATTTCGAATTTTACAGGGATATGCTCAGTAGATGTAAGCAACTTTCTGCGTTTACACTTTTAAAAAATATTGATTTTTACAAAAGTTACATTCAAAAAACGAATCGTTCGTCACCTTACCCTACACTCCCCTATATATTAGCTCCTATGAGAGCAAATGTAAACAAACAAAAACTTCTGATATCAAATAAAAACACCTCTTAACGAGGTAAAAAACTAGTGACGACCGCACCTTCAACATACAAAAGTTCTGATATCAACATTTGTGACGAAAAATTATTACACTCGTCATTAAATAGACTTTCTAATCTTTTCTCATTCGTCACGCTGCAATAGAAAATGCCTGTAAAGGGAAAAAGGCTGGAATAGTTTGCTAGGGCGGACCGAATGAGAAAATATTAGAAAGTCTATTTAATGACGAGTGTAATAATTTTTCGTCACAAATGTTGATATCAGAACTTTTGTATGTTGAAGGTGCGGTCGTCACTAGTTTTTTACCTCGTTAAGAGGTGTTTTTATTTGATCTTCTTATAGAAGAATGTATGTATTTAGGAATAAAGTGGAATTTCGCTGGTAAGCAGAAAGGACACTGCTTAATTCAACCAACTTTGATTTACTTTGATGGCCAGCGGCATTTGCCACGCTTAAGCTGGAAAGCTTTTAAGAAAATGGCAACAAAACCGCGCGTTTGGCTAATGAAAACCTAATTGAATTAATAAGATACATTAAAATCAATTTAATATCAATTTAAGAGTCGCCTGGAGCCATAGAAACTGCGCCTACATAGGCAATTTCCAGGCCGAGAGCCATTTCAGAAGTACATCACCGTTTTATGTTGGACAATAAGAAAGCGCAAAAGTTTTACAGCCCTTTAACCCTTTACGTTTTTTGTTGTTTTTATTTTTGTTGTATTCTCGAACCGGCGCCCATCAGCTTTTATAGTTTATGACAGTAGAATGTACTGAGAATTGTGTATCTGTATCTGATGATTTTGGTTTTTCATTTGCAGCGCTTCAAGGACAACGACATCGAAGTGAAGCGCAAGGACGGCATTATCCTGCTGCGTGAATTGGCCGCCGAGGTGAAGAACTTTATGGATTTCAAGCGGAATGCTGTCATGGTAAGTGAATATCCCTGACTCTTTTGCACTGAAACAAATTCAAATAAACATGACAGTTTTTTATTCATCTTAAATTAAATGTGTTTTGTCTTACTTACATAATTATATAACAATTTAAAAGGTAAAAATGAAGAAAAATATGTTGCCTGTCTTAAAAGTGTCTTTTGTTCAAAACATACATATGAAATAAATTGAAGAAAGGTATTTCGATTTCCGATATTTATACCCGTTACTCGTAGAGTAAAAGGGTATATTGTATTCGTGCAAAAGTATGTAACAGGGAGAAGGAAGCGTTTCCAACCCCATAAAGTATATATATTCTTGATCAGCATAACTAGCCGAGTCGATCTAGCCATGTCCGTCTGTCCGTCTGTCTGTCCGTCTGTCCGTCTGTCCGTCTGTCTGTCTGTATGAACGCTGAGATCTCGGAAACTATATAACTTGGTATATATTTACCTTAATAGAAAACCGAATTTTCCAAAACATAAAAATTACTCATTTATCATACAGTCAAAAATAATATTTGTTAAGCTTTTTTTTCTGTCTGTACCATCCCCAAACTCTCAGTTTTCACAGTTCTTGGGATGTGCCTACAATTGACAAGTGGCTCAATCTCTCAAAGCTCAAGGGAGAACCGGCGGCGGGCGAACTCAAACTCTCAAATTTGAGGAGGGCACTAAAAAACACAACAAAACAATAACACGCGGACACAGGACACCGTCTCCAGTGGGACACTGGCGTAAAGTGGAAAACAATAAATTGCCGTGGGGCCAGTCTGATTGCGGTGGTGCTCGGTGGATCTGGGGGGGGAGTCTTTTGGGTGGTGCCGAGGTCGGAGCCAAATTGAAATTAAAGTGCGCCCCGCCACAATCACAAGTTTTTGATGGCGCCCGCAGCTGCTGCGTGTGCGTGCCCAGCGATGTCACGGGACCGGAGCTCCGCCCATGGCAAAGGGACGAAGTGAATGCCACCGAGGAGGAGCCGCCCCTTTCTGCGGTCCCTGCGGTCTGTTCTCTTTGTGGCTCTCCACTGTGTCCTCCGTATCAATGAAGTCCTCCCGCTATCCGGGTAATTTGCCACGGGCCGCGACGGGTTAATGATGCGCAGTGGATTATCGATAAACGGAATCACTTGGTACCTAAAGCGATTGCCTAAATTGGCCCTTGTTCTTCTGCAGGTCTAAGTCGAGAAATTCTATAATTGACTGATACGTAGAAAAAGATCAATAATAAATTTCGATAAAATTCCAATTAATACAAAATGATAATTCCTCTGCCGCCCCTTTTGAAAGCGAGCTAAAATTAAATCTGAATTTAATCAAACATTAATAATTATTATATGCCTTTTCTGAAAACAATTTTTTTTTAAACAAAAAATAAAGAGAAAACTGCGAATTTCAGTGAGATTATTTATTAAATACTTTTTTTGAATTATTTGATTTACGTATAAGAGTTATTCCACTTGAGAATACAATAATTGAAAAGTATACTAAAGAGAAAACTGCGAATTTCAGTGAGATTATTTATTTAAAACTTTTTTTGAATTATTTGATTTACGTATAATAGTTATTCCACTTGAGAATACAATAATTGAAAAGTATACTTCTTAAACAGTTTTTATTGAATATTTTTAAAAATTTTAATTGTATTCATAGCCCATTGTAGTAGAAAATAGTTCTGAGTTAGATTCGCCCTGGTTGGAACCTTGCTCGGTTAGTTTAATTTCAAGGACCTGTGAAGATCCAATTCCTTGCTGATCGTTTGGATTGGAGTTTCCAAAGTTATTTTGCCAATTATTCCCATTGGGCTGTCGAGATCCAATTCCCTGCTGTTGGTTTGGATAATAGTTTCCCAAGCCATTTGGCCAAATATTGCCAACGTGCTGTTGAGATCCAATTCCCTGCTGTTGGTTTGGATAATAGTTTCCTAAGCTATTTTGCCCAACGGACTGTTGAGATCCAATTGTTTGATGTTCGGTTTGATAATAAATTATTCGTTGATCATTGTTTCCATCGCCAGAAGCCAGATTTGGATTTGCCTCCTGAATGATGAACCCATTAGTTGCGATTGAGGGATAGTTATCTTTCACTTCTTCATAATTAACTATGTTATACTGGTTATCGTTTTTAACGATAAAGCTTGCGGCTTGTGGGCTTGTCACAGGACCTACATTTTGACGATCGTCGGGAAGGGGACCCTTATCGGTCTCCGCAATAATCCATTCCCGAATGTTGGCCACATTAACATAAACGCCCGGGACGCCCCTCATTCCGCAACCTACGCCGAAGTTGACAATACCCGCCAGTTCATAGCGATTAGGTTCGTTCGGGATCGGACAGGCCAGCGGAGAGCCACCATCGCCTGTGCAGGCATCCTCGTCGGTATTACCGCCGGCGCACATCAGACTGTTATCGAGATGGAATCGTCTTTTTAAAACGCTGCTTATGGCTTGCTCACACGTTCTGGTCTGGACCACAGGTAGCTCAATCCTCTTCATGATGTTCATATACGAATAGTCTTCGAAGGACTTCTTACCCCAGCCCGTGAAGATGCAGCGGCTGTAGTCGAAATTCTTCTGTTGAGTCGGCATGCAAATGGTATTAATGTGGGGGGTCTCTGGTAGCGATCGTTTGAGGAACAGAAGGGCGGCATTGTTGGCTCCGGTTGCCTCAACGAAACCAGGATGACGCACGACCTGCTGGACCTCAACGTCCACATAAGGATACTTCTCGGTCTCGGTCTTAAAGTCCCATTCGCCAGCTCGAACAAGAAGCTGGTTGGCGTTCATGTTATCGATTTTCACTCGCGCTGTGATCACTATATGGGGAGCGATCAAGGAGCCGCCGGCCACGTAGATTTTTGTTGACACATCGAGCACAGCCACCATCCATGGAATTTCATTCTCCTGGGCGAGGTATTTTAAGTCACCTATTCCGAAGCTCAATCCTTTCCCGTTAATGCGTCCGCAGCTGTTGTCAGTCACTGGATCTATGATGACGACTGGCTCATGCTGGAATAATACAAAAATGTAATTTAAGAAAAAACAAGAAAGAAAGCTAGCTTCGGCCAGCCGAAGCTTATATACCCTTGCAGATCGTTCCTATTAAATTACAAATCGCCAAAATTCTAAATTTCGTATTATTTTAATATTATTTTTTCTATCCTTCCCTATTGCAGCTATATAATATAGTCGTCCGATTTTTGTTAAATTTAATTCAAAACTCTGAAATATTAAAAAAAATCATATCCTAGAGTATAAGAGAATACAATAAAAACCAACGGAGGTATAATTTGTTTCCAATTAATTTCCCATTAATTTTTCGATCGTTCCTATGACAGCTATATGATATAGTCGTCCGATTTTGATAAAATGAAAATTGAAATTCGGAAATATTTAAAAAGAGTCATGTCCTAAAGTAGAAGAGAATACAATAAAAACCAAAAAAGCTAAAATTTATTTCTGTGTAACTTTCCCATTAATTTTCCGATCGTTCCTATGGCAGCTATATGATATAGTCGTCCGATTTTTAAAATATTTTATTCGAAATTCTGAAATATTTAAAAAATAATATTTCCAAGAGTAGAAGGTTTTATTTCAAAAAACACCGAAGCTAGAATTTTTTTAACGTTTCCTTCCTATGTGAGCTATAAGATATAGTTATCCGATCCGGTTGGTTCCGACTTATATACTACCTGCAATAGAAAGAAGACTTTTGGGAAAGTTTCATCGCGATAGCTTTAAAACTGAGAGACTAGTTTGCGTAGAAACGGACGGACAGACGGACAGACGGACAGACGGACATGGCTAGATCGACTCGTCTAGTGATGCTGATCAAGAATATATATACTTTATGGGGTCGGAAACGTCTCCTTCACTGCGTTGCAAACTTCTGACTGAAATCATAATACCCTCTGCAAGGGTATAAAGATAGGCCATGATAGTTGATATTTTAATTGCTAAATTTTGCATTTTAAGTTTGCATTTTGCTAAACATTTTTAACCTTTTTTTATTTCATTTATGAAAAAGTTCGTAAAATTATAGAGCGGCCTGCTTCATAAGAATAATGCGCAAAAAATTGGAAATAAATTTTTTACTTTTGGCTCATTCCTCGTCAAACGTGATAGGCGTTTTTTATCGTCCACTCGCAAGAAAAAATCGAAATAAATTTTTTCCATAGAGGATCGCATATTTTGTATATCATTACCATTTATTTTTATCCATATTTTTTCATTAAAGCATTTTGGTGACTAATTCAGTAATTGAGACTAGTTTGAGTTATTTTATGAAACTTTGCAAGTGTTCGCTTTTGCAAATACAAAAATTGTATTTTCCCATTTCATGAAGATTGGTAATTTTTTTAATTACAGAATTTTAGCTGCCAACACTATTTTTATAAAAAATACATTTCTTTTATAATTTTGCGCTAGCACTTTAAGTCGGTCCGTAAAAAGCTAACGAATAAAGTTTTGTAATTTATGTTGCTCCCTGCCCACCCTCAAAATGATTAGATAACTAAGCCAAGTCTTGAAAGTCCTTGATTACTGGCATTTTAAACTTACTATAAAGGCCTGGGGACAGCAGACCGCCGTGGAAGTACATCCTAGGTTGCCGTTCGTTAGAGATCGATAGCCCAGTTTAAGCGAGCAACTATCACGAGCCACACAAAAGTGTATCGACGAATCACCGCAAGTCTGCCTTTGTTTCTGGTTCTGGTACTGGCCCAGGACTTGGACTTGCCAAGATGCCAGGAACAGGCACACGATTGAAATTATTCCTATCCCGGTCAGACGAGCCATTCTAGGGCGAAGGTAGTAAACGAACTGAAGTCTATGTCCCGCAGAAACAGAGCTAGAGCCCAATTGTATTCTTAGTATATATGTATGTACAAGAAGGTACACTCAGAGCGCCTTACTGATAAGGCGAGAGATTGAGTAAGAGAGATCGAGCTCGGACTGATAGGACATATATACACACAAAAAAAAGTGAAAAGTGTTAACTCCGTAAGCGTTGTATTAAAAATAAAAACAAATAAAAATAATACAAATTTCATACTCAGTAGAGTTAATTTCATATTTAATAATATTTTGTAGTTTCATTTCTAAACCAAAGGTTTAAATCTAATACTTTTGAAGGTAAAATTTGAAAGCTCAAACAATAATTTCGTTTCTATGACTATTTTTTTTGGGTGTACCTCTAAAATTCATTGTTTTTGAGATGCTCGGGTTTTGTACATGCATGAGAGCAAGAGCCATTCTCGTGTGACGTGTAAATAAAGAAAGTGTCTCCCAGGGCTTATATAGAAGAGAGACTTGTCTAGATACTCATTTAAATATATTGTGCATGATTATGTTTTAGTTTTTTTTTTCTTTTCGAGATCAAAGCCTTGATCTCTGCCTCGACTGCTAATGCTCATAAAGAAATTACAAAATTACGGTCTAAAAAGTTAAAATTCTTCGGTTATGATGAACAAGAATTTTATAAAAACATAACAACACGGTAAATATTTGTTAATTATATTTTTAAAGCGCTGATCCTTGTTTCTAGAGTACCAATGCTCTTTCCTTTTAATGCCAATGTTTTTTTTTAACTGAAACAGTTTACTGTATTTCAAGCGTAGCGTTTTGATTGATTGTTTCGGAAAAGTGTCTCCTTGGCCAGTCTTCCTAATCCCCTCCCCCATTAAGACCCCGGCCTGCGATTCCCTCGTTCTCTCTGCCTTTCGTCATTCGTCTTTTATGTCAGGCCATTCATCTAGTGGAAAGTTTTTCCCTCTGCCGCTCCCTATGGCAAATTGTTTTATATACCCCACTGCATCAACTTTTCGCATCTATTTAATTTAATTATGAAATTATTTACAACTTCACGAGAGTGCTGGTGAAAGTACAAACACTTGGTGGCCAACAAGCCAGAGCTTATTAATTAAATGTTATAATCAACGCATGGCCTGTCGACACCCCTGGCACATCGACTCAGTGCGTGGGTATACATAAATAATCTTTTACGATATCCGCTGAATATTGATTAAATTTGTTTAGTGTGCGTATTTTTTGCTTTGCTTTGTTTGGACTGCGGAAAGATTAGGCAAAAGACCTCCTGACCGAAAAGGCATACGAAGCCCCATTAATTTGAAATCAACCGGCGTGAGGGTTATCAACTCAATTCAAAAAACTGAACTCCTTATAGCGCAAGGTCTTTGTCGCAGATAAATTTAAGACGTGTCCCCGGCGACGGCTGGGTGCTGGCTTACGATCCGTTATCATGCTAGATTTTTTTTTAGGTCATGTAGCATCGAAAGTATTTCCGACAGACCGAAGTCGTAAAGTCGTTGAGAAGTGCGCCCTAGCTGATAATAATCACATTTGTGATACAGATACAGGCAGATTAAATACATTAAATATATTAAATACATTAAAATGTAATTGTAGTTTATAAAAAAACACTCTCTTGGGTGAATAATCCAATGTTTTATGTAATTTCTAATTAATCATCCAAAAACATTCCCATGCTAGCAATTTTCCATGCGGCTTAGCTATGCTTCACCGAAGATGTGGGGATGGAATCGCGATAACTATTAACAGGGGCGATGCCCACTTCATAATCGCTATGTAAATATTACTGGTTTTATGGCACTCTCGGTTTAAAGCCGACCGACAAGTTCTATTGGGCAGAGGCGTCGCTAGGAGGGGGCAACTATAAAGCTTTTGATGCTTATTGGCATAAAAGAAAAGATTATTGTAGACATGTGAATACACTTGACACTTGATAATGCGATCAACAATTCTCATTGGAAATTCCTTGAGTAAATAACGAGTTTTGAGCTGCGAGAGCACTGCGATAATTGATACCTGCGTAGAACGTTGCAATTGATTCTGGGAATCTCCCGATTTGATTTTTCTCGCATATAATCTGGGTTCAGAGATGACCTGGGTCGGCAGTGTCTCATCGCTGATTGCAACGATCAGTTCGCTTGAAAATGGATTCGCACACCTTTGTCTTACTGCTGCTAATTGGCTGCCTGATTGTTGGATGCTGTATGGCTGCACCTGCCTGTAATGGCGGCTTTTATACCAGCAACGGTAACCTGGTGATCGACGTAAACAATATTCAGAGCCACCTCAACTGCGTTAATCGGCAGCATCAAAATCGTGGATGACACCGTCATCGGCCGTCTAATCTTCTACTTAATTACATAAAAATATAAAAATAATTATATAAACACAAAGTGCAATGCAAAAACCACGAAAAAAGCTCAATAAAATATACTAAACTAACCACAATCGATACTAATTCTAATTTGTTCGACTATTTGTGAATAAACAACTGCCAATGCAGGTTGAGTGTTGTATAAACAACATTGCGTATACGTGGTTTTAATAGCCCGCACATGTTAGGGTAGAAAATAAAAATTTAAAAAAAAACACAAGCATCTTAGAACTGGTTTCTTTTGCTTATAATATATTATAAAATGTTTTCTGTTTAGTTCAATGCCTCGGATCTGTCGGTGATCGTTATAAAATTAAATGGCCTGCACGTGACTTTAGAGTTTAGACAATTCTGTTAAAAAATCAGTCGGGACTAGTTAATTTTCTTAGACCCCAAACTATGAAATTTATGTAGCCGACTCTGGTCGGGAACAGCGAACTAAGTGCTATAGTATATAGTAGCGCCCCGCCTGCCCCTTCGGCAGCCTTCGACAATTTGTGCTCATGTCGAACATGAAAAATAATGAAAAGCAACTCGAGCGCGACCAGACGAGCAGGTGCCGGCCCCCTTTGGCCCGCCCCTGGCACGCCCTTTGCCCGCCTTTCACCCCAACATCGACCTCCATCAACGTCATAGCCAGAGCCCTATATGTGCACTCTCTTCTTTCTTTCCCTGTCTGCATCACTCGGTTGGGCACCTGCAGTTGCAGTTGCCCTTTGTTTGGTGCGGCATTAAAATGCTAATTGCCTGTAAACATAAAGGCAACTGCAGATGCCGCAAATACATACGAGTACGCACACATCACACCACACCACACCCACACACACACACATGCACGCATCTCATTTTCCACTTTGTTCGGAGGCGTATGCGTAATAATTTGTATACAGCGTAAAAACGTGTGGCAATAGCCGTTGCTAATTCGATTTCTATCAACGCCTGTCAATGCCGTTTTAACAGAGCTGTTGCGAATGCAACGTGAAACCTTTAAGGATCTCCCCCTTCCCTCTTTCCCCGACCCTGTACTCCCACTAATCGTGTCCTGTTGCTGACAGCATTTATTTGCATTCGGTTGCAAGCTAAAATTGACTTTAAAATTGCATTTAATGGCGGAAAAAGGGTAGAGCCACGCCCCCTGCACTCGCCATTCATTTTCAAATAGTGCTGGCCATTTGTCATTTTGTCAGCTAGATCTGGCCTTTAAAAAATTGATTTTGCTTGGGGAAAGACACCACATATTCCATATGTATTTTATTAAATATTTTTAATTATTTTTATTTTAAAAGTATTTAATAATTTTAAAACCTGTATATATTGCTGAAAATACAACATTTCTTTAAATCTCACTCTAATTTTGGCGCCCACAACTGTAACAACTGTAATGCTTCAATTGAAGTGATAAATAAAATGTTTTCATATTTTAAAATGTACGGACTTAAATTACTAATAAAATTTCTTTGACAAATAATATTAATTGAGTCCATTTGGCTTTTTTTAAGTACTTAGTGGCCATCACTGTTTTGCACAGTGTCTCTCTTTGGCTCGATTTCCTTTTGGCCACCACCACCCCCTTACTGCCACCCACCCACTCCCACATCCTGTGCGCTGTTGACTTCTTTGCCATAATGCCACTTGCACTTTGACGTTGACATTGTGCAAGCGAGAAGGCAGACGCAGCTAGAGCGAGAGAGATGGATGGCTAGATGTGTGTGTCTGTGTGTATTGAGTATATTGGAAAGCTGTTCGGGTGTTTTAAATAGAAACATGCAGCAACGCGGCAAAAAATGTCTTCACACTAAAAGCATTTGCCTTCCACTAAAAAAGACGAGAGAGAAAAGAATCTCCAGAATGACAGCACACAAATTTGTTGACACTTACTCAATGTTGTAATTGCACTTGCGACAGATTTACTGATCTTGAAAAGTTAAGTACCTACTTTAATAATATTAAAACTCTATAGAATATTTGTTGTCCATGCCTGGAAATGTAATAAAAGTTGTATAAATTAAATAGTGAATTTTCTATATCCAAGATTATTACATAAGATATTTTATATCTGAATTTAGTTCTAGATGGAGCAGTAATGTTTTTATGTTATATCCTAGATAATATCATAAGGTATTTTATCTATGAATTTAGCTCAGGTTGGCATAGTAAAAACTCCACAGCTGAGCTTAACAACAATCTTATGGGTTTTAGTCGAGTAGAAAGGGGACAACCACAATGTAAAGTTGCACTTTGGCTGGGTAAAGAGCGTTTCTAATCCCCAAAGAGGACCGCATTAAGTGTGAGTGTGAATGTGTCGACGCAGCCCAGTCAGCCAGTCACACTTGTGGCTAAAAGTACCCAACAGATTTGGCCAGGACAGAGCAGGAGGACAGACTTGAAGAGGACAGGTACCAGAAGAGGTGCCAGCCACTTGATGTCAGTTGGTCGCCCACTCATACTAATCAGGGGTTTACATACCTACAAATACGACCCTGAACGTCGTCAAATATTTAGCTGAACTCATATTAAAACGTAATATAAATTTCTTTTTCGGCTGCACAACTTATTGCTCCAACATTTGGCACGTCCATTCAGATGGCAAATATATTGGGGCGACCGGGTAAGGAAAAAAATCGCTGAAAAAGCTGGGAAAGCTGGCTGGGGAAAAAGAAAGGCAAAGAAACGAAACGAAAAGTCTGAGGTCGGACAGAAATCGTAGCTTAAACACACATCTTGCATTATCCAGAGAACAGAGAAGAGAGTGGGTGGAAAAAATCACTCGGCTGGATCTGGCTTTTCACTTGGCAAATGGTCAACGCGTATTCGTTTTTTCGTTCCTTGCGCCCAGCACACTCTCAGGCTGTTGCTCCTCCAGCCAACGCCCAGAGTCCTTGAGTCCTTATCCTTATCCTTCTGGCGAACAAATTGCGTGCAAGTAGCTGCATTTTGCTAATTCCGGCAGAGCCCAGACACTGCACCGCTGACATTTGAGCAGGTCTCGGTCTTCTAGACTCCCAGTCCCACTTCCATTCCCACTTCCATTCCCACTTCCATTCCCATTCGCAGCCATCGTTGGCGTTGTCATTGTTGGCTTTTGAATGTTAAGATGTCGACAGCTGCACAGACGAGCGACAGGGAAGCCAGCTGGTGTCAACTGAGAATTGTGTGCGAGAGGGCATTGCTCAGGGTCGGTTGGTCTCCGAGCCAAAGAAAAATTTCCACCCACCCATCTATCCATCTATTCACCCATCCATGCAACCCTTTTTCGCCATTTCACAGACACCTTCTTATATTTTTTTTGCGCCCCTTCCTGTGCATTTCTTTTCTTCTCGCACTGCCTCGACCTTTCCATAAGTGCATAATATTGTTGCAACAAAAATGTACAACAAATATTTCATAATACACGGCCATGTTTTGTCTGCCGCCCTTTTCCATCATGTTCCGTCCCGAGTTGTGTTAGACAAAGCGACTACGCATGTTGGCAATTATTTACATGGATATGACATCGCTGGCCCTTGCAAATAACTAGGGGTTCAGAGGGTAAACATCTTAGGGGGTGTTAATCGTGATACAAGAACTTATTTTTGACTGCCAAGCAGTTTAAGATATTTTACACAAATTTAAAAAAAAATATAAAAAAGTAGTAGAATTTTTCTGTAAGAAAAATATATATAATATAAATATATAGTCTTAAATAAAGCTCATAAATGTTTTTTTATTTTTAAATGAAAATAATTCAATATAAAATTCAATAAAATCCCTTTAAATCTAAAAATCAATTAAAAAGTAAGAAAAGTGGTTATGTCACTCCTCTCAACCCTTTATTCCTTGCAGTTTCAACTTCAAATTGAATAACTACTTCGTAGCAAGTTTAGCTCCTTTTTACCTGCCTGGGGGGCAACTATGGCAACCAAGTTTCCTCTTCGTCTGGCTGCAGCCAAGCAAAGACTCGAAATCCGATAGAAACTTCCTGGTCGCTTCCCCTTGGTTACCAGTCGCTCAGTCGCTTACCCCCAGTGTGCTCCTTTCTATTGACTCACTTTCGGCAGTGTTTATTATTTAATGCCTTAACTAGCTCGCTACTCAACACCTTTTTGGGCAAACTTTAAGACTCCTTAACTAATTCGAGCTCCAGCAAATAACTTTGAGAGTTGGCTGGATGAAAGAGGCGGGGATGGGAGGTGGACACCTGGAAAGAAGTTTTCGGTGCAACAACTTTCTTTCCATCCCACCCTCTATCTGGCATTCCTTTGCCCCCTTTCTCCCCCGCCAGCTGCACATTTGTCTAAGCCGCTGACACATTCCCGTGGCACCAGCGTTTTCCCAACGGCAGCCAATTTACATTGAAATCTTCTTCAGACTCTCGGACTGGTGACTATGCTTCTGTATGCCCCAGAGAACCGAGAACCGAGAACCGCCGAGTTCAAGCATTTTCATTCTATTTTCCAGCTCTACGTTCCCATTGTGCAAAAGTAGTTGAACTATTTCAATGCACCCACATGCAGCTTAGCTCCTCGGCAGCCACTGCAGCATCTTCAGGTGCACCACCCCATCATCCCCATGGGAGGCGTGTGGCTGTGGGCGTGGCCCATCCCCAGTGTCTATAACTGCAGGTGTTTGTCCTCCTTCTTCGGAACAAGGATAAGGGGGAGACCAGCCCCCTCTGGGTCTAATTTCGCTGCAGCTAAAGTTCTTGTTTGCGTCTTATGAAAATGCATACTGTGGGCACCGAGCTAAATTTGTAAAGATAATTTGTGCCCCGAACTTTTCAAAATCCTCAGCAGCATCCCAGTGATTTGTTGAATTCCGGCTGGGTCGTAAATTGGAATGCGATTGAATATGCGAGCTCTAAAGACGCCACCCATGAATACAGTCAGGTTGATCGGCTTAAAATGGAGATTAATTTGAAGCTAAGAACTTGCAATTACCAAATTGGGTTTTAAATATGTTTTATTTTCCCCAAAAATAAATTTAAAAAGTCATTCACATTTTGGTTTATTTTAAAAATGTTTCGAGTTTAAAATGAATGGGACTTAAAATCCAGATAACATATTTCCAAAGTCAATTTTAAATTAAATTTATTTTCCAAACATTTCCTAATAAATACTTAGAGTAGGCAACAATAATAAATCATTTGAGTAGCTTAAATTGAGGCATACTTTTTAGCTCCATATTGAACACTGTGCAGATAACTCAGGGCTTGGAATTATACTCCACATACATACATACACACCCAAGTCGAACTGAAAGTTTGCAAAAAAGAAGGCAAAATGAGGCAAAGCAAACTCCAGTGCTTTGTGCAATTTAAGTCGCAGCGAAGAGAATAAATTGCATAAAGCGCGGAAAGTTTTCCCGGCAACTTTCCCTCGAACCCACTATACCAATCCCCTAGAGAAATATTTAAGCAGATTGATGGCAGTGACTGAATCCCGAACTCTTCTCTCTTACAGCGCCTGATGGACTCCGCCGAGCAGGCGGCCCTGTCCGAGCTGGAGGGCCAGGGAGGGCAGGCGGAGTCGCCGATGGGCGGACAGCAGCACTACGATGCCCGGCGGATCAACGAATATAATGCCGATGGCAAGCTGGCGGACGGAGCCCGCCACATGGACATCCGGTTCATGCGGCGCTTCGAGCGGCTGCCGGTCAATCTCAGTCTAAGCTCGATTCTGGTGCCGCACGGCGTCGACTTGGAGGAGGCGGACGTCAAGTCGGCGCTGCAGTGGAGCGGCCACTTGGACCCGCTGTTCCAGAACAACTTAGAGCAAGATCCGGCATTGTCGTGGCAGTACTTTGGCTCCTCCACGGGCTTCCTGCGCCGCTTCCCGGGCACCGCCTGGCCCCCGGAGGGCTCCAAGGGCAGCAAGCTCATCCACGACTTTCGCACCCACAATTGGTTCGTCCAGGCAGCCTCGTCGCCCAAGGATATTGTGAGTATCAATTGAAAAACTTGTTTAAGACGGCATGTATGTATATTACACATGTTAAAAGTGGAATTTAAATTCTACATTTTCATACGCTTTTAAGTTTTACAAGAGAACGTCCTTTACAATTTTTAAAAAGGATTCTTATTTTGTCTGCAAATTTAAATAAATGTATTTTATTTTGCTGTACTACCTTATAGACCTTTCGTAAAATAAAAAAAAAATTTACAATGAATCTGAAACGAAGGCCAGTTAAATTAAGCGATTTATTTTAGTCTTTAAAAATGAAGCTTAGCAAAAAATCTACGAATGTGATTTTTTAAATATTTTAAAACATTTATTAAGTGTTGTAGGTGTTCTTTTTATTATGTAATATATATTTTTGTTTCTTATTAAAACTTATAAATTTATCCTAACTAGTTTCGCCTGTTTTATAATATTTTTTTTAAGCTTATATTTTCTAAATATTTATTTAACCAAAACTAATTGTATATTTCCCATTAGATGATTCTCCTGGATGCCTCGTCAGCCATGACAGAGAAGTCCTTTGACCTGGGCATGGCCACCGCCTTCAACATCCTGGACACCCTGGGCGAAGACGACTTCGTGAACCTGATCACCTTCTCGGAGGTGGTTAAGACACCGGTGCCGTGCTTCAAGGACCGCATGGTTCGAGCCACGCCCGACAATATCCAGGAAATTAAGTCAGCGGTCAAGGCCATCAAGCTGCAAGATACGGCCAACTTTACGGCGGGCCTGGAGTACGCCTTCAGTTTGCTGCACAAGGTAAGCGGAGATTATAAATAAAATAGTAAATAAAAAGAAATATTAATAAATTCCAATTTCTAGTACAATCAATCGGGGGCCGGTAGCCAGTGCAATCAGGCCATCATGCTGATCACGGAGAGCACCTCGGAGTCGCACAAGGACGTGATCAAGCAGTACAACTGGCCGCACATGCCCGTCCGCATCTTCACCTATCTGATTGGCAGCGATTCCGGCAGCCGAAGTAATCTGCACGATATGGCCTGTTCGAACAAGGGATTCTTTGTCCAGATCAACGACTACGACGAGGCCCGTCGCAAGGTCATCGACTATGCCCTGGTGATGGCCCGTCCGATGATCATGTACCAGGCCGATCATCCGGTTCACTGGAGTCCCGTGTTTGTGGCCGGAAAGTCCGGGGGACTTGGACGCGATTCGGAGTACCAGCGACGCCTGGTGACGACAGTTTCAACTCCGGTCTTCGATAGACGAAACCATTCGGTGCGCGTTGCCAATCTGCTGGGAGTGGTGGGCACCGATGTGCCCATCGAGGAGATCCGCAAGGTGATCCCCCACTACAAGCTGGGCCCGAATGGCTATTCGTTTATCGTGGATAACAACGGGCGAGTGCTCTACCACCCCGATCTGCGGCCCCTGGGCGATGCCAACCAGTATATCGACCAGCTGAAACCGAAGTACGCCTCGGTCGACATCACGGAGTTGGAACTGCCGGAAACGGAGTTCGGAAATAATAACGAACCCCTAGAAATAAACAAGAATCTTCTGAACGAGGTGGGTAATTCATAACATTAAAATATATTAAAATATAAAATAAATAATATTTTAATATAAATATAAATAATGTTCAAAAATAAATAGGTATACGAAATATAATATTCTAATATTTAATTGTATTCTTTAAATTATAAATAATATTTATTTATTTTATTTCTTTAAAACATTTTACTTGAACTTGTATTTTTAAATTTAACATATATTTTTTTAATGAATAATAAATGGTTGTAAAAATTTTCCTGCTTTAGATGCGCGGCGATATGATAAAACCAAAGGAGGGGGAAACGGAATTTACCGTGATGAACCACTACGATGACTCGAAAAGGGTTTCGACCAGGACGCATCGGTACTTCTACGGCCCCATCGAGGACACACCATTTACCCTGGCTATTGTGCTCCCGGAGAAATACGGTAGCCATGAGTTTGTTTCCCAGCAGGAGATTCGGCATTCGCGTAACAATGGTGAGAGGGATATCACATATACATATCTTTATGAAATTCGATCTAAATTCATTTTATTTTCAGTTACCGAATACTTTAAGGGAGACAACTGGCGCGTACATCCCGACTGGGTGTACTGCGAGTACAATAGCGTCAGTGATTTGGAAAAGGAGCGGGAGAGTTCCGGCGAGTATTCCTCACGGGATCAGGAGCCGAGCTTCGGATCGCCCGAGGAGCAGGTATTGCACTTTCTATCTCGCGCTGGACGCCCCGGTTGGAAGTGGATGTCGGTAAGCAATCTAACTAGGTCAATGGGTTCTCAAAGGGGGGATTGTTTTTTCTCTAGGCTCCATACTAATACCAAAAATCTCTCACCCAAACCAGGTTCGACCCAAGTCACCGCAGCCACATCACAACATGCACAGTGGCTCCAACGGCAATGCGCCCGGATCGAGCCACTTTGGATCGCAGCACTCAAACTCTCAGGGATCTCGCAAGGCAGAGCCCTACTTCTGCGATCGAACCCTCATCCAGAGCTTGGTGCGCGATGCCATGGTCACCGATGGACTCGACAGGAACACCACAGGATCCTCCAGCGGCAAGGAGGATAAGCAGTAAGTTTGAATGACCAATGTTGTATATATCGAAATAGTCTTTTCATTATTTTGGTTTCTAAATACATTTGTTTTATTTTGATTATAAAAATGTATCTTTTCAAAAATTAATATTATGTAAATTAAAATATTAGAATGTAAACACAGTTTTTAAATTATTATTTTAAATTTACTTTAAACTCTTAAGAAAATAGTATTACATTTTTATTTACAAATAATTTTTACTAAAGCACAAAAAACCATTTTCTCTCCGCATATATTTTCCTCACTCTATTTCTTTGATGGCAAACAATTTTACTTTTTGCTATAACTCTGCACTTTTTCACCTGAATAACCATAATGCAAAAATATTCTTCCCCACCGCAACTAATTTCAAAATATTTATTTAAACAAATGCAATTTTGAACTGATATGCACCAATTTTGTATAAATAATTTCTATAGTCCAATCGCCACATTGATGGCAATCCTCAAGAGGTAAATCGAAGAGTAATTTGATTGAATTTGGAGTAGAGTTGAACAATGCAATCGCTTTAGAGGACCAGCCACATGGAGAAGGCTTGAACGAATTTCCCTTAGAAAGATCTTATGCTGGCCCCAAATGATTAAAAACTTGAAAATTCCAGATGCCTGATATACATTTTATATTTTATTCTTAGGCAAGGCTATCAGAAGTTTGTGGTTGCTACTTCGTTCGTGGCAACAAGATCGGGTCTTCTCCGGTGGATTGATCATGTCAAGCGACCCGAGGACACTCCCGAACCGTAAGTAAAAGACTGACGATTGTTGGCTATATCCTAATTATTTTTTAATTTTCCAGACACTTTAGCGAGGATAATGTAAGAGCCATGGACACATCTTGGTACAAGCGAGCCATAGATCAGCACTCCGTTGAGCCGGATAGTTTTGTGTACAGTGTACCCTTCGGTTCGGGCTATGCCATCAAGTCGAATGCAACCCTGGTGACCGCTTCACATGCTATATTTGTGGAACACCGAGGTCACAAAGCTCCTGCGGGAGTTGTGGGTCTTCAGTTCCAGCACGATTCGCTGGCGAAACATTTTATTAATATCACCTCAGCTGTAAGTATCCTTAAAGTTAAGAAAAATATTTAAAATTTTAGGTAATAAAAGAAAATTGCTTGTATTACCTATTGTTTTATGACAGCCTAATTGATGATAATACCGATACTAAATCCTTTATTCTATTAGTGCACTGGAATGACGGGCTGCAAGAGAACCTGCGCTTCGGACAATCTCGACTGCTATGTCTTGGACAACAGCGGATTTGTGATCATATCCGAAGAGATGGAGCACACGGGCAAGTTCTTCGGCCAGATCGATGGGACCATCATGGACTCCCTGGTCCAGGATCGCATCTACAAAAGGGTAACGGTCAACGACTACCAGGGCGTCTGCTCCGATGCGGACAATCCCTACACGGCTGCAGGCGGCATCTTGCAACCAAATCGCCTGGGCTCCTGGTTCTTCAATCATCTATTGGCTTTGAGCGCCACTTGGCTGTCCTTTATGCCCGCATCGCTGAGAGCCTGGCCGCAGGAGGAGTACACCTATGACAACGAGGATGTTGTATTTGTGGATAACAATTACTCTGATGAATACGAGTTCGGAAATGAAAATGAATATAACATGCAGGTGGACCAGGAAATGGATGAGTTCTTTACCACAGCCGATGTGGTAAGATTTTAAGATATATTTTACGAAAGATTTACAATTGTAACTTTATTTCTAGGAGTATACAACGCCACCACCTAGACAACATAAGCCCCATGTGGGACCACGATTTTCACCGGATCCCCAGAATGCCAGAAGGTGCGATCTCCGCACAGATCTCTACATGCTTCAGCCGGAGCGACTCAATCAGGGTGGCCAGAACAATCCACTCAAGGTAGGTGCAGATAACTCCATGATCAATATCGATATTTTCGTTATTTTTGATATTTTTGAGTGAGCTTAACTGATATCTTCATCTTACTTTTTTTTAGGGCAAATTAACCAACTGTCATGCATCTGGTTGCGAGCGTCCCTTCAGCGTCCAGAAGATCCCGCACAGCAATCTTATCCTGTTGGTGGTGGACACCCTGTGTCCGTGCGGTTCCAAGCAATTGGATATCGAGCCTTTGGAGGAGGCGGGCGTAATCGGTGGGTATTGCTGATAGCCAATAGAAAAGCCTTTCTTAATATCGAAATATCGTTTCTGTAATCCCTGCAGGAGCCTGCAGTACGAGACGACAGGGTCAGGAGCAGGAGTCGCGACGCCGACCCAAAAAGTGCATCAATTATCATCCCGAGGAGATCGAGATCCAGCAATGTGGGCGTGGCAGCACACTGCTGCACATGTCCGGCTCGGTGATTGTGGCCCATCTCCTAATGGTCACCGTGACCTTTGTGCTGGCCAATGCGTGATATGAGCACTAAATGAGTTTTGAGAATTAGGTTTGCACTTGTTTTGTGTCGAAAACAATAAGCGGATGATGAGAAATCATGTCTTTTGATCGAAAGAAATACGCAGTTTGAGTTTGTTGATTTGAGATCCAAGTGGAAGTTGTTAGTCAACCTCTTACCACTAAATGAGGTAAAGGGAAAAATCAAATATGTATTTATTAGGTGATTCGCAAAACGAGAAACGTTACACAGATAATACTAACAAGTTTATATAATTATGTTTGTAGACAATAATTTGCAGAAAACGATTTTCATTGACAATTAGACAAAAAACGATAGCTAAACATAAATTCTGTATGTATGTATGTGCAATACGAATAGCATTTAAAAATAAACTGTTTAGTCGAATATAAATATTTTCTAGAGCGAGCTTTGTTTACCAGTTATCAATTGATTTCCACCTTAAGACAAATTAAGAGACGTAAAAGAAAGTGGCAGTGCAAAAATCTTTAACCGAATGTAATAATGACGGAAAAACAGTTATCAGTCGGATTATGTAAATAGTATCAGAAAATATTCAACATGAGCAAAATTCCTACCGATAAATAATTCGTTATTTTTCCTGTTTTCTATCGTACAACTTTAATACTAAATAAACGGAGTTACTTTTGCACTCAACTGCGTACGCACAAATATCAAGTATTATATATTTTACAACCAAACGAAATCGAATTCACTGAACAAATGGAAGACTTGAAATACCCGACAGCAATGTAAAAACAACAAAAACACAACAAAAAACCAAAGTAAAACCAGAACAATGATAAAGGCAGTTCATATCTGATACGTATGTATATGGTTGACATCCAATATTGAACAGAAGAAAGCAAAACGAATACGAAGGAAAAACAAGTTAATTATTAAATAAATATTTGATTAGTTTTGCAGAAAACAAAAAATAATAAAACAAAGTGGAATAATAATTTATTTTATATACATTTTTATACAAACCTCATTCATATAAAAGAAACAGAAGGTAAAAACCAAAACGATCGACTAGAGTAATCGTTTTATTTATTTGTTAGACTATACCGTATGTTCTTTGTGTTTTCTTTAATTTAATAGGCCTACATAGAAATTTACATATCTATCGGAGTTCTGAAATAAAAAATATTTATTTCTTTTCTAAACTAATAAAAAAACTATTTAAAAAACAAATTACTCGAACACACATATTCACATCTACACACACTCTCACTCAATCTAAACACAAAAAAACACTTACAAACATATACAAAATATAAAGAAAGAATATTTTCTGTGTCTTAAACTTGTATAAAAAATGTCTTCCATTAAAAATACTTAACGAAAAATGAAATCCAAACAAAGTAAAACAATTTATAAATCAATACCTACTAATTAACTTAAACTAAAAATACGATTATATAAGGTAATATATATTAAAACATTTAACTCGAAAAGTCATTAACCAAGCATACACAATTTCAAAAGTTTCTCTCTGTCTCACCTGTTCAGCTTTAAGTTGGCAGTGGGCAACAGGGGAAATCCCAAAAAAAATTAAAAACAAAACAAACATTCTTACACCCATTAGAAGGTTAGATAATGTAGTTAGTTAGGGCGGCAAAAGGAAGAGCATGCAAAAGAAGGATCATACAAGCATTAGAAGAAATATTAGCAGAATATTTAATATATAGTAAATATGTAATAAACCTAATTTAACACACAACTTAAACCGAGTAATCAATTGTAAGTCGTAAGTCTTAAGAGCTGTTTGTTAAACGATGACGATGTTGCAGTGCGATGGCGGGTCACCCGTGCGTATGCGTAATCTGAGCTGGAGTGCGTGCAAGTTTGGATGGGTGGGTGATTGTCTGGTGTTTGTTTGCGTGTGTGCGTGGGCTGGGGACCTTGACTGACTTTAAGTGGCGTGGGTGGGAATGTGTGAGAAACGACAATGGATATACCTGGTAGGCCACCGAAGGCAGAACACAATATACACACCGTACAGTTAAGATCGCTATCCGACATTTCCCTTCTATATCCCCCACTCGGTACATACTACCGGTATCTTCCGGTATCAGCTACATTCTCACTCACTCCTGTTCACCACAGATCCACTGTAAAATGGCATTCAATTCCTTCGCATAACTTCAACTCGAAAGTAATAAACATATTTATGTATTCAAATTTTTGCAAAACAACAATTCCATATCAAGATACAAAAAAAAAGAAAATAAAATTTACCGAGGTATGTAATAATATAATAATGTTCTGCAAGATTTTCTATGTTTGTTTATTTTTATAAGGAAATCGAATGTTTGTATGTGTAGTCCATAATTTTCTAAAGGCATATGAATATATTGAAAAAGGAAATACAAACAAATGTAATGTTTATTGGTCTTAATGGAATGGAAAACAAAATGAAAAACAATTAAATCTACCATTATTAACTTACGAATTAAATCAAATTTTTGACAATGCGATTTTTGCTTTTTGGAAATCGTGCTTTTTGCTAAAACAAAACCACAAGAAAAGGAAAACAAAATGAACTATAATTAAAATATGAACACACTTTTGCTCTCTATAAACCCTATATACAAGCATCTTTCTATATGGAACATTTATATAAAGCCATCCGAAACAAAAAAAAAAAAAACGTATATAGAACATGTAATAAAACGATCCCCTAAAACCTAGTCTCTCTCTTCAAAAATGTATACAGAGGACAGAAGAGATCCCAAAGGTTTATATTTCATGATTTGCCGCTCTTTGTTTGGTTTAATTTTGTTAATTTTTAATTGCCACATTTAGCACTTAAATTGAGACCTAATAATCATAATAGAAAGCAACTGGGAAGTAAGCATACATTCATGTCAAATTAAAACAAAACAGTTACTACTTAACGTAAATAAATTCTGTTATTGCTGTCGATCACATTTAAATAATATTTCTAAAATAAACCCAAAAGCAACTTTTAAATTGTGAGAGAAATTGTTGTTTCATTAAATTTGTCATTATGAGATTTAAAATATAAATGTTTAATGCAAAACTAAAACAGTATGGAATACATATAAACGTACACACATGTAAGTCATAAACATTCTGTATATTCCAGAGACCCGCAAAACGGCTTAAAATAAATATCAAAATTGTTCAAAAAAGCTTGAAATTTGGATAAAAGAAATAAAAGTCTTTCGTTCTCAAAAAACACACACTTAATACGCTCATTAACGACACACACACCTACACCTATAGACAAAGCTTATGTTATTTTATATGGAAAGTCTACAAAGAATTTCGAGAAATAGTTTAAAAGAAACGAAAACTATTAAACATTAGTCAGCGTAAAAGACACATTTGCAAAAAGCCTAACTGTTAAGAGAAAATGGAAGAAAGTAAACGGCATACTTACATAAATTAATTATAAATTAATATAAACTTGCTCATTATTCTAATTACAAACTGGAAATTATAAGTAAATGGTATACATAAATAATATAATTAAAACCAAGTTAAGATTCAACATTAAACAGGAAGATGAACGACTAAAAATATTATAAATACATAATATGAACGAAGGAACAGAGAACAGCATAAGAAAACACAGAATGGAGAAATAAATGACAAGAGGTATTATAAAATATTGATCTTGTGTTTTCTTGTGAAGGGCTGATTTGTTACTTATTTCTTAAAATTTATCGAGATGGGCTGGATAAATTTACTAAATTAAAGCTTATTTTTTCTTCCGCATGTTAAATTTAAAGTGGGCATTAACTCTTAAAAACGTGTGAGAATTCAACGTTTAAAGCCTACTTTAAATTTAAAACTAGAGTACATTTTACTTGTGTAAAATATCGGTACAGTATCGATATATCGGTATTTTCTGCCATCTGTTTCTACATTACTTTATACAGACATGTAAAATGTAGCTATTCCCGTAAGCTTCACCCGTCCTAAAAATAAACCTTCTTTAATTAAAAGCTTTCCAAAATAGCAAATAAGTGTTGCAAGTAAACGTGCGGATGGCGCCAGTGTAAGGTTTTCCAGCCTAGTCAAAAACACATACATATGTGCACCACCCACAAACGAAACAAACTACACCGAACCGAAATGCATGGGGAGCATCATTAATGACGTCCTGCACTTCCGGTGCGCAATTACGCATGGCAAACACAAATCAAATGCCGAAATTGCGATATGGCAGTCTGCACTCGTGGCACGTGATCCTTCCCCAAGGATAAGCGCAAATTATAAATTGCGTAATCAAATAAATTTGACAAAACTATTTAACTTATTTATAAGGCCGACCCGACACACATAGAGGGGGGAAAAGACGGAAACGGGAACTTTTTGGCCAAACAAAATGGGACTGCAAGAGAATATTACAGAGAATATTTGCACTTTATGTACTGTCAACAACAAATTCAAATCAAATAAACTATAAATGTCCGTGGAATTGCCGACTGGGACTTCAATTTTGGCTTGAGCTGGCCGATGTGCCGTTGTGTTTGAGTTCGTGCTGAAATCGTTATCCTGTTACTTGTCATTAATTCGACCCTTCGTGCATATTGTTATTCCTGTCATTATTGCCCCGTATTGTTGTTATTTCAGCTCTGTGCGTCGACCCGTTAAATTAGCCGCTTATCAATTATGTATTTGAATTTAATTGGCCAACTAGAAGGCTCCCGGGACTCGTTGGCATGCCTGAGCCTGGATTGAGCTTCGCACAGATTTGCCATTGAAAAAATAAATATGCTTGTAAATTGGAAACATATGGATACATATGTATGTGCAATGATATATGTATGGCTAATAAGGGGTAAATATATGACGCGTGTACTCTTGGAATTGAAAAGTTATTTAGTCCTAGCGGTTTTTAGGTATTTGAGCTATCTGAATTAATAAAAATAATTTAAAATGGAAAAGAAAACCAGAACAATACAAATTTAGAATTTTATGAATAAGAGTTTAAAATTCATGTTAAAATTTTATAATTCAACGAAAACACAAATAACAAATTAGAAAACAAGAAAGGAAGCTAGCTTCGGCCAGCCGAAGCTTATATACCCTTGCAGATCATTCCTATTAATTAACAAATCGCAAAAATGTTAATTTTCTAATATTTCTCATTAATTTTCCGATCGTTCCTATGGCAGCTATATGATATCAAATAAAAACACCTCTTAACGAGGTAAAAAACTAGTGACGATCGCACCTTCAACATACAAAAGTTCTGATATCAACATTTGTGACGAAAAATTATTACACTCGTCATTAAATACACTTTCTAATATTTTCTCTTTCGGCCCGCCCTAGCATACTATTTTAGCCTTTTTACCTTCATAGGCATTTTCTATTGCTGCGTGCCGAATGAGAAAATCTTAGAAAGTGTATTTAATGACGAGTGTAATAATTTTTCGTCACAAATGTTGATATCAGAACTTTTGTATGTTGAAGGTGCGATCGTCACTAGTTTTTTACCTCGTTAAGAGGTGTTTTTATTTGATATCAGAAGTTTTTGTTTGTTTACATTTGCTCTCATAGGAGCTAATATATACATTTAAATTTAAATTGGTCAATCATAATTTGTAAGCCATTGTATTTAAACAAATTAAGTTAAAAACCGTTTAAGTATTTCAAAATACCTTTTAAACGAGGTATAGCACATGTCTGTAGCTTCAGTAGTGTAGAACTTACAAACTAACGAAATTTAGCTATTTCTAGCTTTTTTTCCGCTAAAGCAGCGGGTTTTTCCAAAAGTCGTAAAACAAAAGTTTCCTATTTGGAACTCCTTAAAACAATTGAAATGATTCTATGACCCTAAAATACAGTTCGGATACCCTCACACAAAATTCAATACTCAGGAAGCTTTAGTTGTTCGAGCTGGCAAAAGTGGCTATTTTCGTTTCTGAAAAACTTTTAAACGCGATTTTTTACATAAACATGATATATACCAAAATTTAAGG